CTAGTTGGTTCGCACACACGTGAATTTGTGCAGAAATAATGACGAGGAACTAGGTTGTAAACGAGTCGAGCTCTTAACGAGCTAAAAATCGAGCTTGGGCTCGAAGTTTAATGAGCTAAACTACATAAAATTATATAATAGTTATATTTTTCGATCTTTACGGAGTCGAGTCGGGTCAAGTTCGACTGTTTAAGTCCTTTACAATCGAGAAATGCTACATTGCCAATTTAATGTACAACTAGGTTGGCAACATAAGTAAAAAAATCTACAAAAACAAAAGTAAAAAATACACAAATGAATATTTCCACTTGCGTTGTCAACCTAGTTATACACAATGTTGACTATGTATCATTTTTCCAAAACAATTACAATTTTTAAGCGAGTTCGCGGGTTGATCCGAACTCACGAGCGTTCCACAAGAAGCATACTCCAAATCAAGGAGCTAAATCGGGTCAAATTCGGGTCTGAAAAAAGACCAAACCCAGAAAAGAAAAGAACCCAAAACAGCGAGAAACCCTAATTCAATCAAATAAGAAATAACAGACGCACACACTGTGTGACCCTCTCAGCCACCATCAATGGGGAAGGTGAAGGGGAAGCACCGTTTGGACAAGTACTACCACCTAGCCAAGGAGCACGGCTACCGATCCCGCGCCGCCTGGAAGCTCGTCCAGCTCGACGCCAAGTTCGCCTTCCTCCGCTCGGCCCAGTCCGTGCTAGACCTCTGCGCCGCCCCCGGCGGATGGATGCAGGTCGCCGTCCAGCGCGTTCCCGTCGGAAGCCTTGTCGTCGGTGTGGACCTCGACCCCATCCGCCCCATCCGCGGCGCGATCGCCGTGCAGGAGGACATAACCGAGCCCAAGTGCCGCGCGACAGTGAAGAGGATCATGGCGGAGCACGGACGCAGCGCTTTCGACCTGGTGCTGCACGACGGGTCGCCCAATGTCGGCGGCGCGTGGGCGAAGGAGGCGACCAGTCAGAACGCGCTGGTCATTGACTCGGTGAAGCTGGCGGCCGAGTTGTTGGCTCCTAGAGGAACGTTTGTTACCAAGGTGCATATAAATGTGTTTCTATGGTTATTTTTACATATAAATTCTGATTATTTCTGTTGAAAGGGGATTTCATATTCTGTTCACTTTCATGTGAGCTTTAACCAATTTATTTGCGTAAACTTATAACTGTGGTGTTGGATGGATTTCGACAAGTTGGAATATTAAACTGATTTTAGAAGGTTGGACGAATAATTCTGTCACAATGTATGAATTGCCTTAGTAATTGGCATATATTGGGTGTTTTTTTGGTGGTGTAGTACTGATGGAACTATTCGTGGGATATTTCTCCTTTGAAATGAACATTAGTTTGAATGGATTGGAATTCACCTAAATTCAATGTAGTTCTTTTATTGCTTCTGAAAAAAATAGCGTGTCTGCTGATTGTGTGATTGTGTAATGTTTGGAGTCTCATGAAATCTATTACCTTCTTGAGGAACTATGTAATTAGTACGTGTGTTGATTTATTTGGTGTAATATGGCTTAGTGTGTAATAATCCTACGAGTCTTAGTCCCAGTGGCTTCCATTGATGTATGTTGCTTGTATTATGTCGATGTCTATGTCGTTCTCTATCTACAATATCACAGTCTGGTTTTTAATGATTATTAATTATTATTATTATTTTTTTTTTTCTGTTTAACCATGCATTTTATAGGTGAAACTTAAGATAATAAGTACAATTGATAACTTTGTTCCGTCTTGTGTTTTATAGGTTTTCAGGTCTCAAGATTATACAGCTGTCCTGTATTGTCTTAGACAGGTAATACATCATTTCATTTGATGAACTCATTTTTATATTTGATAATAAGACGATCACCAACCCATGATTTTCCTTGCAGTTTTTTGAGAAAGTTGAAGTGGAGAAGCCACAAGCTAGTCGATCAGCTTCTGCTGAAATATATGTTTTGGGTTTTAAGTACAAAGCACCTGCAAAGATTGATCCTCGCCTTCTTGATGTGAAGCATCTATTTCAGGGAGGAAAAGATCCGCCAAAGGTTATTTTCATTCCCCTAGTCTAATTATTAACTCAATTGCCATTCATTTTCTATCTGAAATGATACTCATCCATGTAATATGAATGATTATAGATTGTGGACGTACTCAGAGGAACAAAGCAAAAGCGACATCGTGATGGGTACAATTTACATTTGTTAATATGCTGTTTGATTATCTTGTAGCGTAACATACCAATATATTGTCGTATGACTGGGCTGAAAAAGTTTATTCTATGAACCAAACACATTTTTTATGTTCCTTTTCAGGTATGAGGATGGAGACACTACTTTAAGAAAGTTGTGCTCTGCTTCAGACTTTATTTGGTCTGAATCTCCTCTTGACATACTTGGTTCAGTCTCTTCCATAACATTTAACGATCCTGAAAGCTTGCCACTAAAAGATCATACTTTGACGACTGAAGAGGTGCTTTGTTTATTCATTTATTTATTTTTTCCCTGGATAAGTATTACTATCCTCCACTATCCAATCAATGATTATGTTCACTCTTCAAATATGCTACAGGTTAAAGCTCTATGTGATGATCTGCGTGTCCTGGGGAAGCAGGATTTCAAGCATCTTTTAAAGTAGTCCTGTGTTATATTAGTAATTACCAAATATCTTATACATTCATTTTTCCAGGTAGTAAATTTATTTCCATCATCTTTCTTTGTCTTTTAGGTGGCGAATGAGTATTAGGAAGGCACTAAATCCTAAAGAGAAGGCTACCCCTGCTACCACTACTGTTGAACAAGAGGGTAAGAAAGAAGAAGATGAAGACGAGAGAGTTCTTAATGAAATGGAAGAGCTCACAAATGCCATGGACCGCAAGAAGAAACGGGCTAAGAAAATTCTGGCAAAAAGACAAGCCAAGGTTTGCACGGTGTTCGCAAATCTGGCCCATAAATCATTGACATATATGATAAAAAAAGTAGATGACATGCAGTTAACCCAAGTTGGTTGATTGGTTCATTTTTGCAAAACGTCCATTCTTTTATTTGATGTTATTGCCATCACACATTTTAGCCAAGGAGTTTATGCTTTGTGCTTGACCGTTATTTTATCTTATTTTACAGGACAAAGCTCGGAAAGCATTAGGCAGGCAGATGGATGCAGTTGAGGATGGCTACTTTGATCAGGAGCTGTTTTCTCTGTCTTCTATCAAGGTTCATCTATATGTTTTATATTATTAGAAGCTATCTTTTGTAATATCTCTATCGACTGTGACCACTGACTACTCATCTTCACAGTTGAAGGAAAAGGATAAAATGAATGCCTAATTTACCTTTTTAACTTGCTTTCAATTTATTGATGAAATTCTTAAGTATTTGATGATATTCGATCTTTGTTCCAATTTCTCATTCAGGATAAGAAGAATCTTGCTGCTGTCGATAACAATGAATTTGATGATGATGCTGGTAACATTGGAGACAGTGAAAGTGAGGAAAGCCACAGAGCTGACGAAAAGACACCCAGTGATTTGGACTCGGAGGAAGAACGGAAACGGTAATCATCGCTCAAATTCCTTGTATCTAACTGTTGTTAAAAAAATGCTCAACATACGCAGTGTGCTTTGAAAATTAACAAGAATTTGTATTCAGCTATGATGAGCGAGTTGAAGAATTACTTGATGAGGCGTATGAGCATTTTGTGTCAAAAAGAGAAGGCAGCGCCAAACAGAGAAAGCGTTCAAAGCAAAAACACTCTGAGGATGATCAAATTCTTGAGGTTAGAAATCCCCCTGCCCCAAGAAACTTGTTCTATTCATGATGACTATGGAAACTTATTTAAGAACTAAGTAGAAAAACTCATGATTTTCTAAAATCACATAATAACCTTATAAATTATTGCAATATCTGCAATTGAGAGTTCAGTTGTAAATCCTGAAAGATGGTTTTGTTATCTTCTCTTTCCTTTTTCCTATTACTTTTGTGTACACATTCATTTATTCATCTTAACCTAAATGTATTTAAATTTGTTCCGCAGGGTGATGATGATGATACCGCGTTACATTCAGATCAAGACTCGGATAATGACGGTGCTTCTCACGAAGCAAACCCACTCATGGTCCCACTTGACGAAAATACGCCCACCCAAGACGAGATTGCAGTACAATGGTTTAGCCAAGATGTCTTCATGGACGGAGATGATCTCGACGAGGATCACCAGAGCAATGAGGATAATAGTGGAGACGAAACTAAACTGGATTTTCCAGCCAAAAACCGAAAGCCCATCATAAACCAAACACAAGATTCTTCCGAAAAAAATCCCATTAGTAATAAAAAAACTAATAATTTGCAGGAAGATGATAGTTTCGAAATTGTCCCGGCCCCGGCCACAGACTCGAGCGACTCATCATCCTCCTCGGACGACTCGGATGACGACGATATCGAGACGAAAGCCGAGATACTGGCCTGCGCGAAAAAAATGCTGACTAAAAAACCGAGAGAGCAAATCCTAGACGATGCGTATAACAAGTACATGTTCCATGACGGGGGCCTGCCTAAGTGGTTCCTGGACGAGGAAAGGAGGCATCGCCAGCCCATCAAGCCCGTGACCAAAGAAGATGTGGCCGCCATGACGGCCCAGTTCAAGGAGATTAATGCCCGACCCGCTAAGAAGGTGCTGGAGGCGAAGGCCCGTAAGAAGCGTGTGGCGCAAAGGAAGCTGGAGAAGGTTCGGAAAAAGGCCAACTCGATATCTGACCAGGCGGATATTTCTGACCGGTCGAAGAGGAAAATGATCGACCAGCTGTATAAGAAGGCGGCTCCAAAGAAGCCCGAAAGGGAGTATGTGGTGGCGAAAAAAGGGGTTCAGGTGAAGACGGGTAAGGGGAAAGTGCTCGTTGATCGAAGAATGAAGAAGGATGCAAGAAAGCACGGGATGAGCAAGCAAGGGAAAGGGAATAAGGGGAAGCAAAAAGGTGGTAAGGGTTCGAAAAAGGGTTTTGGGAAAGGAAAGAAAGTGCAGAAAGGGTAGGTGTGGAGTGGGAAATGGAGTTTGATTTTGAAGGCTTTTGTTTCGTACTTTCTTGTGTTCTGCAGTTTTGGGATTTTTTTCTTTCATTGCTCATGCCATTGGGATACTTTTGCCTTTATTTTGGGTGACGACAATTTTGCGTTATGGTTTGCTGTGGTCGTGTAACGAGTATATTTATACGGTATTGTGTTGCAAGCATTATAATTTAATCAAGTCGCCCAGCTATTTGAATGAAGAGTTCCGGTTGCAGGTAACAAATGAGACTAGTACACGTTGAGAGTTGAGAATCAAGTACGTTGTGTTGTGATTAGTGTGGTTAAATTAAATGAATTTGGGCTGACTCGACTCATTGAGAATCGAGTTTAGCTTGGCTCGTAGACTTAAATTCGAGTTCATTTAAAGCTCGTTTGGTTAATGAGTTGAGTTATGCTCGGCTCGACTCGATAAGGTTCGAAATGAAAAATTTTATATAATTTTTTTAAAGTTCAGCTTGTTAAAGCTCGAGATTGATTTGTTAAGGCTCGAATTCGGGTCGTTATTAGTGATAAACGAACTGAGTTCGAGCTCGATATTCAAGCTCATTTATTTAACGAGCCGAGCTCGGACTCGTTTACATGACTAGCATTGATATAAGTAGGTGATTGGGTATTTCTCTCTCAAGAACATACTATTTCTATTATGAAATAGTAAAAGTTAATAATTTGGAAGGATTTTCTTTGTCAAAAGTTTATGATTCCATGAGCAATGAATCGAGCATGATTGACAGCTGAACAAATTATGATTCAGGAAAGATTATTTATGACAGAAATTTATCTTTTTAGAACATTAGCGATTTTTTTTTTTTTTTTTTTTTTATATTAACAACTATCACTCATATGATTGACGGTTGAAATGTAAACCGAGTAACAACAGTAAATAATAGTTGAGACAATAGAAAAAGTGAACGGAAAAGTTTCCGCAAATTTAAATGTACAATCGAAGCTCTTTTTATTTTTTTTATTATATATATAGAAATCCAAACAGGCCAACAAAAATATCACAATTTCAGACATTGTAGATTTGCAAACAGGCCAACAAAATATCCCAATTTCAGACATATTGGTCAAGCATTTCATCCACAGTGGCATATCTAACATCCGGATAAAGCTCCGACGCCTCCACTCCAAACGAGGGCTCGATCTCGAAGTTCGTCTGATCCCCCTTCACAAACACAGAGTGGCTGATAGCTAATCTCACATTCAGTGGGACCGATGCCTCTGCAGTAACGCACGATCAACAAATTCACAAATTAATGGATAAAATAGAACAGCATTATTCTAAAATTCACCACATAAAAAAATTAGCTCACAAGTCATAATACTTTTAAGCAAGTTTTCTTTCTTGCCTTGAATGTCTTTCAGAATTTGTTCCTCAGGAATGTACTTCCTTTCAAGTTTTACGCCACACTTATTCTCCCACAACGTCATGAGCTCGTTTAGGGAGATAGAGTTGTGAAAAGGTCTAATATAGAGGATCTTGTTCAGGGTTCTTAGATCTTCCACGGCCTTAATCGTGTATGTGGCAATATCTTCTTCCTTGTTATACACAGCTTGATACGACAAAAAAATGCAAAAAATACAAAAACACAAATTAAGTTTGTCCGAGAAATGTACAAGTGTGCAACTTCCTTCATGATTTTTTTTTTTTGGCACCAAATCTCAAAGGTAAGTCCAAATAATGCCGGTTAAATCACACACATATTCAAAGCATGGATAAATTTTGAATTCATGCTATGTTACCTTTTGTGTTGCCATCCCCAAAGATTACAACTTTATCCCTTGGTGGGGCAGAGGAATCCAGCTGTGCCAGTGTTTTAAGATATATACCGGCAAAGAAATTGCTCGAGACATATGTGTAAGGGACTCCCGAAGCCTCCACCAAGCGGCGGAATTGGGCCTTTTTCCCAAATGTCGACTTTGCGGGCTCCACAGCATGTACTCGGTCCACATCATTACCAAATTCCGAAGGAAAGAATCTCTAGAATCAATATAAGGTTGTGTTTGGTAAAGCTTATTTGATTAGCTTATAAGATTCATGTATTTGAATAAGCTTGGTCTGAAAAAAACAAACTTTTTTTAAAAATTTGATCTTATCTCATATGTTTTGTTGGGTAGCTTTTCAAATAAGTCCATTGAAATTTTTATTTCAACTACCTCTAATTTTACCAGATACATTTATCATATAAGCTAGTTTTTCGGCCATAAATCATAAGCTATCAGCTACAAACTCGAAACTCAATGAAAAGTTATAAGCTCTTATCAACTAGGTTTACCAAACATAAACACAAGGAACAGTCATTTCGCTGAACGAGCTACTGATTGTTCAACAATTGCACTTAATTTGATCTCAAAGAATCCAACTTTCGAAATCCATTTTCAACTCTTCCAACATTCTCCACACTATTCCGCATACGAATCTTACTCCCGAACAGTTAACCCATCTCGGATTTTAAAGCATAACAAGAATTTGAGAAGACTC